CACCTTGTTTTGTTGGCATCTAAAACTGATCTCTAGCGCTATCTGGAACGGTTCGCATCCGGATGCAACATGGCAGGCCTGAACGTGTCTAAAGCAAAAAGCATAACACTTTCTTGTTCTGATGCACTTTGTTCTCTTTAGAATAACACCTTGCTGTCGGACCGTCCCAGGGTTAATGATGATGCAGGTTGTTACGGTTGAGGAAAGTATTATGTGCTGTACTCCGTTTTGACATGCAAGACACCTAGTCATTCCTTTACCACTCGTCGTCACTTAGACACAGAGAGTAGATTTTTGTGGAGACTTCTGAGAAGCCATAGTTAGCCTATGTTTGTCTTTGAAGTAACTAATTCATTTTCAGGTTCGTAGTATTCTAAAGCGATGTAACTCCTCAAGTTCATATGAGCTATACGAATGTTGCTAAAAAAAGTATATTTTTTTATTTGCAACTTGTTATTTACGGAATTTTCTCGTTCCTTTATAGTTCCTCTGTGACAGAATTTGTTTGCGTGATCTAAAGTCGTGGTTTGCTCATTTTTTGGCATGTCTTCTCTTTCATTTTTGTCGCCATAGCCGTATTTCTTTATTCAGTTCTGACTTCCTTCGTTTAAGTTGTTTCGTGATTAAGTGTGAGTTACCTCCAGATCCTTCGTTATATTACCTCACTGTTGCCGTATAGGCTTTTGACTTGTTCTGTTAAGTAAGAAGTCTTCAGAACAGAAGGTCTTCTGATCCAGTGGTTAAGGGTTAGAAGACAAGTGGAACAAGCTTATTTAAAAGGTGATGCCAAATAAAAATATTTCTAGCACCCACATGCCTTTATTCATTAAATGAAACGAATTGATGCTTTAAAAACGTCTTGCTTCAATTTCGGCACTGAATAGTCTATTTTTTCAAAATATACTCTTTCCTGTAATTATTCTATTTTTAAGTTTGTAAAATATGATTAAGCTAGTTCGCCATTTGCCATTCTAATTGCTGTACAGTAATATCTACAGTGTTTATTCATAAGCTTTAGCCTAATTTAACTCAGCGAATAACTGTGATCAGTTCTTTCAAACTCACTTTTCATTTCTGCCGTATAAAAATCTACAAATTTTTATTTCAGTTCTACGATGTCCTTGTCTTCAGTGATATTCGTCTGTTTTGGTACATTATCATATGCTTTTCAGCGCATTTTCTCTCGTTAGTCACGGAAATTGTGATTCATTCATCGACTTCCTTCTTTGTTTGGAGGGTATACTGCACGATTAATTGAAGTTATCTTATTGTCGCAGTCGTTAAACCAGTATTTTCTCTGCGGCCTTTTAATCACACTGTCTATACTATTATACAGGTTTAGTTTTAAAGTACGCGTAACTTGATATCCCGGTTTCTGTTGCACTTCAGTTGCATTGTAGCCATTCATTTAAGGGCTAATCAGAGAGTGTGGCGTCTGCCTTCGTGGCCAATGAAAATAAGCTAAATAATTCAATTTGGTATGCAAGCATGCACTTTGGTTGTTATCAGATTCCAAAACTGGCATGAGGTTGTGTTTCTAAACGATACTCGTTTATGGGCTGCACTTGCAAATGTTTGGCAGCCTTCTCCTATTTAGGTAGTTTTTTCAGTGGTTATATTTGTCAGAACGAAAAGTCCTACCTTTTAGTCCCAGAATACCTGTTTGCAACTTCTTATTGCAATGACGAAGTAAAGATGGAGTATGACTAGAACTCGCAACAACTAGCTTGAAGTAATATCTAACTGATGGTGAAGTATCCTTTATCAATAGGAACGCCAAAAATTAATTTTTTTCTTGGTCACGCTCTAAAATTTATTGTCAAGCTATTGTTATAGATATCGGCATCAGTCAATTTAAATTAAATTTAAGTTTCACTTTTAGTGAGCTCTCTAGGTGGTCGAGGCGGATTGAGATCGTTGAGCGCAATCATCAGCAGCGTTGCCGTACATCTCGCACGCTGTGGCGTAATATATCAGGCCACGATGCTGCTCAACGACCTGCTACCCGTTTTTCTGCTAGCTGCACCAAAGCACACTGGTGGTTAGAGGGTTGTTCCTTTCTCAAGGAAACTAGCAGTTCATAAGAAAAAGTTTACGCCCCACGTTGGGTTTCATCTTTTCACTCAAAAATGCAAAGTAGACGACTAACCACTTGTGCCACTGACGTCTATTCTCATCGAGATGATGATTTTCAGACCTTAAGTAGAGTATTAGACAAATAATAAATGCTTACCACAGTGTTGTTATTTTGACATTATTATGCAAATACTTATATGTTACTGATACTGATATTCATTCTTTGTTTGAAGAGATTTCTGATGTGTCCGACTCTGGTACCAGTTTCCGTGAAAGATGAGCTCATCGGCCAGAACTGGTGGCTGTCTCACAGATATCAGATTTGTGGGATTGTAGCCCTTTTGGGCATCAGTGGTGCTGCGACATATTGCGCTGTTCGCTATTTCAAGGTTGGTTATTTTCATGATTTATTAAAGGTAACTTTGGTCGTTGATAAACTGAGAGTGAATGAAGCGAAATACGTTTTTACATGACAATTATTGTAAATAAATTTATCTATTCATCCGATCCGCATTAATACCATAAGACAATTTATTTTCACATCTGGACAGTATTTAATAAGCACAGAGGTGACGTACTCGACGGATTAACGATGCAAGCACAGGGTTTTAAGGTGCAACATAAATGCGATGAAAACATAGAAGTACTGCACATCATTCATTCAGTTTGCAGTGGTAATGCCGCTTGTTCTTTCGAGTGGCCATTTCTTCATCGGTTCTGTTGGTATTCACAGCCCAAACAATCATAGTTCGGTCCTCTAATGTAAGATGTAGCATGTATGTTCTAAAGGTTTCCCGTAGCTCTAGGTGACGACCACTATTGAGAGGTCTTAGGCCGGGCGATTTTTTTCAGGAAGCATTTTCATCATTTTGCTCGATTTATCTGCCGTAGTTTTTTTCGGTTTCAGTCATTTTTCATGATATTTGACCATGCACGAACGCAGGAACAGGTATCCTAATCTTACACCGTCATACTTAGTTCTGCATTAATCACAGATATTCTAGAAGAACTTCTGTAGCCATTTTTATCCGTTAATCGGTCACTGCTGCTCATCTTGCCTCATTCCTAAAATGACACAATGTACTTGAACTCTTATGCGTTTCAGTGATCCTCCAGTTGCCTGCAGAGAATACCAAGCAATGTATAGAAAAATTTTTAGCAAAATCGGTTTTGCATGTGGTTAAGCGCGTGTAGTGAATTGCGAATTACAGATTTTTCCCTTCAAACATATTCATGTTCAAGTATAAAACGAAGAATGATAGAACGCGTGCATAATTTTAACTCACTGGTTTTGATTCTGACGCGATTCGAGCTTTTAGCGTATAGTAATCGAATGGCATCAGCGGTTTGTAGGTAAGTAACAAAATAAATAAATGAGTAGGTAAGTATGAAAGTAAGGAAATAATAGGGCAAATAAACAACCATGGTAATAAGCTGCGAACTGACCAAGTAGGTTAATACCTAAGTAAGTGAGCAGCTGAAGAGGTAAAATACCCTCCTTTTATGCCGGTGTTGTTGTTACAATTAAAATCAGACCTACTTACATTTAGTTGTTACGCTTTTGAGTCAGGAAATTACTTTACTGTGGAAATAACCGAAA